ACATGATAATATATCGTGAAATCCAAAATGAAGCAGACTGTTTTACGTTGCAGAAGGATATAAATTCTTTGACTAATTGGTCTATTCGTAATACAAGTACAAGGAATTTAAGACCTTCTATTCTTTGAAAATAGTTTACTTAACACTCATCAGGAGTATTAGAGTATTGCAGTGTCGTTTGGAATATGTCCCATATGAAAGATATATCTAGTTTAGAAAATGTAAAACAGAAATTTTTGAAATATGCATATTTCCAAAAACATGGTGCTTATCCCGAGAAGAGTTATAGCTATGACTCATTTCTGGACTAGTTCCAAATGATATCTCTGAAAAAATTCAGACAAATCCGAGATATGTGTTTTGCATATAAAATAATACATGGACAGAGAGATTGCTCGCCTCTATTGTCTCAAATGCTATTCAGTGTACCGCGTATTTCATTTTCGGTTTCCAATACACACTGCATCAATTTCATTCTCCTATAACTATTATATCTATAATTGTTAATAATGATCCTATTACATCTGTGAATGGGCTTTTGGGCCTGCTGGATGTATTGAATAAATACATGAATAATTAAATATTCACCGCTGTATGGGCTGGAAAGCAAGTGAATATATGGGCAAATTCAAATATATTTTCTTCAAAACTTCAGGCGTAATTTCAAAATTCGGAGATTTTTCGGGGAGAATTCCATCTTCAATCAAAAATCAACGAATCCTTACGTTCATCTGAAAATTTGACGCAGTTGTAAGTGTCTGAGGAAATTCAAATATTCAATTTTTTTAATTATTGACCAAAATTCCAAAATTCGAGAAGTTGTTGATGCAGTTTCTGATAACTTCTGTTTTGTTTTCGCTCGATTTCCTTTCATCACTGTTTATCTGCACCGCTATATTTCCGGTGGCTGACATTTTGTATGTAGGTATGTTTTATAATGTTGCAATAGGTTTCCCAATAATCATTCAATCATATTAGACAAGTAACCTAACCTAGATCTAAATGTAAAGGTCCGTATTCAAATTCTATCAGTCAGTGAGGAATGTGACACAGTTATGAATCATCAAATTTGACATTGATCCATAGAACTGTTGACATTCAATTATCAGTTTGGAATGAAACCAGAACTATAAGTTCAAGATCTGACGATGGTTTTCAACAAAAAATTAATATTTATGCAATTACTAGGCCTTGGTTTTCACCGAGCCCAACTGAATAACACTAAGGTACTTCCGTGGTTTCAGTGAAACTGAAAAAAATATAGTTGAAAAAAAAAATATAATGAATGAAAAATAAAAGTTTCAGTTTCACCTGTTTTTAACACCTCCACACGTATTTCGATTACCAAGTGATCATCTTCAAAGAGGAAGATTAGGAAGTTTTAATCTTCCTTTGGTGTAGTAATGAATATTACTGAAGTTTTTTCCAACACCAAATTGTTATTTTCAACATTTCAACACGTGTTTTGATCACCAAGTGATCATCTTCAAAGAGGAAGATTAAGAAGTTTTTATCTTGTTGGTGATACCATTCATCAAATTTAACAATTTTATCCAATGATTTGAAATACAGTTCAACACTAAATATTAATTACTTCATATTTACTCAACTCACTTCCTTGCTTGTCTTGAACTGACATTGGACCTAATGTCCAGATTACTTACCACCGTTGTTAGCCTCTGGATTATTCGTTTGCGTTCGGTATATTTGCTAAGGTGACGATATGACGTCAATAAATATTATTGTTGGTTGGTACACCCAGTGGCATACACAACGGTCTTTGGTGTAATAAAAGGTACAAGTTCCAGATTCTTCACAAGATGGAAGGTGCTTTTCTCAATGAACAATTGCTATTTGAAATACAAATCTAGAGCCAACAAAACATGCCGAGTGCAGCTATCTGATTAAATATAGAAAAATCCAACTGCCAGAGTTCCCATGTTATCTATCTGAATCTTTTTTGGAATGCATTTTTTTGGTCTATAGAAACTGTAGCTGTAGCTAGGTGGCGCCTAGCCACCTAGCTACAGTTAATCCCAATTCAGAAACAGATTGACACTAGTATTCCGCCAAATTGATAGGGGATTGTTTTGATTGCCTTTCTGCTTTTGCCGTAGTTTTCTTTGGTTATAATCTCCAAACATTTAAACTGCAACTACTGCAGTCATCTTCAGTGACGAGGTCGAAGTACTCTTCTTGACATGTCAACTGACGTGTCGTTGACACCTCAAGGTTTCTGTCTGTTTTCTGTTAGGTATGGTGTCATTTCTCGTATCTGTAGTATTGAATTTTGATTATTTCGGCTGCCTTATTTCAACGTAATTTGTTTTAGTTCTATTATTTGTGATTCATCCTGTATCAGCACTCCAACCAGTGACTCGTTGAATTCCAAACCGAGCAAACTGATGCGATGTTCAAGTTGTTCAACCAGTTTAATTCAAAAATTGAATGTCTCAGTTGACGCGACTAGTGTTATGTTGCGGAATGTTTAAAAATAACACATTTAACGTTTACAGACTCAAGTAACAAATCGTGATCAAGTTGTATGTATTGTTACTAATTCATTTTGAGTTTTTTGATAGAAAGTAACAAATTCAAAAGGTTTGTTTTTGGTATTTTTTGAACATGAATATTCGATGAATATCCAATATTATAATACCTACGACGAAAATACATCATATCGATAAGTGACTGATAATTTCAATCATCAACATCAAAAAGTTGATTGAACTCCGTTAAACTGTTGACAATGTTGACTTTATCCTTAATATTACGGAAACAATCGATCGTGAAAAGACAGGTTGAACACATTGAAAACAACATGATTTTGGGAAAGAAAGTTTTTGGCCTTCTACTACTTCATGTTGATACAAAAAAAGAAGGCTGAGGGAGTCTTCCAAAGAAAGGAAGGAAGTAATCAATTTGAAAATAAGTAACTCAGACACAAACTGGAAGAAAGTCCTCCTGAAACAGCTACTTTCATATTGAATTACACGAAAGAAAAAAAATCTTTCGAAACTGTGTTAGGAGTCACAAGTTAAAAGTTAAGACCTCGTTAGTCCTTAGCTCGCACAAGTTTCTCAACTTCTGAGAGTTGTCGTTCGTATGAGGGTGACAGCTGACTAACGGAAAAACAGATTTTTAAACAGAAATACTTTTATATGAATACTAAATTATACAGAAGATACTTTTCTCTACTCAGTTTGTATTCCAAACATTCGTTATGGAATAAAATCAGATATCATTCACAGGGGTTCTACTTCAAATGAATGGTAACTTACAGGAGGACTTTCTTCCAGTTTGTGTCTGAAAGTTACTTCTTTGCATGATCTACACATCCATGTATAGAGTTACATATTTTCAAATTGATTATACTTCCTTCCTTTCTTTGGAAAATTCTCACATTTTTTTTGTATCAAGATGGAGTAGTAGAAAGCCAAAAACTTTCTTTCCCATAAATCAATCACTCAAAAAATATAACCCCTTCAATTCAAATATGATTTTGAAGTTTGATTTTGACTTTTCTTGTGTTCTGAGAGAAAAATGAAGAACATTTTCAATCGCTATTTGGAATTTTTTTTTGAAGAATTAAAGTAATCTCCGAAAATTTTTGGTTTTAGTCGAAAGGCTGGATATTTAAAATATTTAAAAACAAAATAATTGGACCTTTTTCATTTCATCTTGTTACTTGTAATACCCATTTATTACAAGCATTCGATGTGTTTCAAGTTTTTCAAAAAATCGTGAAATTTCAAACACTCGTGTTTTAGATTTGAGATTGTGATTTCATTCCATTTTCCGAAATATAACTCTTCGATTAATGGAAAACAGCTATCGTTAAAATTAAACAATACAGGATGATCAAAGAACATAAACTTTCACAGCCGGAGATAAAAGTGTGGAAGCTATTTTCCGAGTTTTCTTGACGTGGTCTGCATGTTTTTATGCCTGACGTTTCGTCTTTTACTGCGGACATTATCAAAGACCCGAGTTGGTGCTCGAGTTGTTGTTTCTGTCGTTCCGAACGATTTTTGACTCTGGTTCTGTATTATTATTCAAGGTTGGTTTCTCCTAACTGAAATACCTGACCTCGTTTGTGTACCTTCAAAGACAGGTAGCCAGATTTTATCAATGTTCATTGCCTCTTCTTGTCTACTAATAATAATTTCAAACCAGAGTCAAATATCAGCATCGCAGTTAATGCGTTTAGATCAACGAGAACACCAACTGAGGCACTGCGATCGTTACTACATCGCCTTTGATGAAGTCTACCGCAGTAGTAAACGAAACGCCACGGAAAATAGCTTTCACACAATACAGTGTGGCGTTCACACAGGAGATAGTTCATTGTCCATTTTTGTTTTCAAATTACCACATCATTTATATTATCTGTCAAAAACATCAGGAATGATGAATTTGTAAAGCTCGATGAATTTTGATTTATGGTTAATGATACAGAAAAATAGGAATTAAATTCTGATAGGAATTAAATTCTGTGCCGTGGCTGAAATGTTATTGAATATTATATCACGAATAGAAAAAAATGCTTGATTACAGAAATTCTCTGCAATATTTTTTTTAAGATATTCCATTTCAGGAAAGAGAGGTTTTGGCTTTCTACTTCTCCATTTTCATACAAAAAATGTGGGAATCTTCCAAAGAATGGAAGGAAGCAATCAATTTCCCCCCAAATTGTGAGTTAACTTTTTGAAATTGATTGCTTCCTTTCTTTATATGGAAGATTTCTACATTCATTTTGTAGAAAAATGGAGAAGAAGGAAGTCAAAATATTGTTTTATACAAGCGATTGATTTTCTGCACGTTTGATGATATATTATTCCCCGTTCTTCATCCATATGAATTCTCAAATTTTATACTGAGAGATGAATTGAATTGAATATAATGTAAAATGTCCTCAAACTCTATTTGGATTTCATATTCATCCATTCATCAACAAGTCATTGTGCAAATACACATACATAACACGTAAACATACTTACCGTGTTATTGCTTTTAGCCAGATTTATGAAAATCTCCGCTTCTTCCCAAATTGTTTCCATTTTCAATTATCGCAAACTCTGAAAGTCTGAAACACCGAAGCACCAAAAACACAAATAAGGTACGCTAATGCAGCAGTTCGATTAATTCATAAACCACTATCACTATCGAATCAACTGGAAGTACCCACTGAAACTGAAAGTGTCTGTGGTGCGGTACCAATTACTTTTACAAAACTCACAAAAATGTTATAATAAGAAAAGTGTAAGAAATATGAACCCTTCCCCACCACGAGCTTGCTTGAAAAATCAGTTGAGTTCACGTCGACGAACTTTGTTCAAGAATGGAGGGAGATACGTTCTTGATGAAGGTGATGGGGCTGAGATCGGTTCTCGTTTCCCCCAAATCGCACATATGAACGTCCTTTGCAATTCCTCCTTCAAAACGAAGAATTTACTCACGACGGACTAACGATTGGTTTGCCTTAAAAAATCTTGTATCTCTTCCTGTTTGTAATATTTATTTCTCGTTTCAAAATTTCAAGGGCAAATTAAATTCTTTTCATTGCGTCTCTGTAGTTTGATGACAGAGTGAAGATAATATGGAATTGTTTGAAGAAACTATTCAGCATGAAACTGACGTGATTTTTTTATTTTTATCGACAAATCGCAAAATTATTGTTTTACATGATTGACATTGCTACTCATGGGCAAATCATTCACACTCTGGTGCTATTGAAAATTTGATAAAATAACAGGGCCCTTTTTTAGAAAGACTCGTAACTTTCGTGTTCCAAAATTCTTTTACTCAATTTCAAATGGCATTACATTAAGAATGATACCACAAGATTACGTTAAAACAATGAGTCGAAAGAAGTTTTACTGACAAAAAGCTAGCATCTGAAATTCAAAAGTTTTACTAGTTGAACAAGTTCAGCGAATTAATGCAAAGAAGTAACTTTCAGACACAAACTGAAAGAAAGTCCTCCTGAAACAGCTACTTTCATATAAACATTGAATTACACGAAAGAAAAAAACACAGCAATTGATGGAGTATGACATTCTCTAACGACCAGTATATACCAGGACACAGTAGAATAAATATTGATTGTGATATGGAGCTACAAAAACACATGCTATTAAAACGGACAAAACTTTCGAAACAATCTAGTAAATATTTCTGTTTAGGTTAATGTTCTAGATCAAAATTGAAAACAAACTTCAAAAAAAGTATTCCTTTTTTTAACACAGTTTTATTAGATTCACCTGTTTGTATGTATGTATGTTTGTTTGTAACTCCAGAATTATCTACTCGCGGGCAGATGACACTGTACGTAACCTCGTTGATATAATTCGAACTCACTTCACATGTATTTTCTTCATTTGAAGAAAGTATTTTTTTAACACGCTTTTATTAGCTTCAGCTGTATGTATATTTATTTGAAACTCGAGAATTATTGACATTTTTGCTTGATCTATTCGCGGACAGATGGCGCTGCACGTAACCTCCTTGATATAATTCTAACTCGCTTTACATGTATTTCTTCATTCGAAAAAAGTATTTTTTCATTAACACGCGTGCCTGCTGCCTTATTTGTAACCCTTCTTTGGGCGCCTGCTGCCTTGGGCTTGGTAGCTGATTGTCAGGCTCCGTCTTTGGAATCGGAAAATATCAATGGTCATTTTTCTAAACAATATACGGCTGATTGATCCCAGAGTTTAGATAATATAAATATATTTCAACAAGACTGAAAACACGCTTTTATAGCATACGAAACTGAAAAATTAAAAATAAATATAGTTNGTTTCATTTGAAAAAATGAACTTTCGACTACTTTTATGCACAATGGAAATAATAGTAATTTTAGCACGCCCTGTGTGATATGGAGTCGATTTCTTGGTGTTATTTGAATATTCAGAGTTTTTCCAAACTATCATCAAAATATCAACTTTTCATGAATTGAGAGTACTGATGTACTTAATTTCAATTAAGGCTATGTTTTGGACCATATTTAGCACAGTTTATTTTTTATCTCGAAAACAGATAGAGATAGGTATGAAAAATTAACAAAAAAGTATTAAAATACCAGAGCGATTCAAAAAATGTATTAATATACGGGGTGTTCCATTTAAAAAATGAAGTTGCTAGGACTTTTTGATGGAAGTGGCAACGCCGCAATGCTAAAAATATTTTGGATCGATAAATCAGGTAAGGAAATGTGAGAGGTGGAATTTTCAGAAAAATCATGCTTTGTGTTTTCCAGAAACGTCTAACCTACCATCGACCGTGAGTCACGCTGTATATAGCAGTGCAGTAAACAATGTCAATATTCTGCTAGTGTACAGGAACTCTGTGGTAACTGTGTATGATCTCATTGGTTTCAAATCTAACAAGAAATTCTAACGACAGAATTACCAACGTTGAACATAAACACTTCTGTTTACTTTCATGGAAATCCCTATTCATCAATCCGTCAGAAGAATCCCGTAAATTTTAAACTAATGTACCTTGGCGTCATCGGCAAATTATTACATATTGCAAAACAATATTAAGCTTATCGAGGAAATATTTTCAACCGCACTAATTAACACTTCTGGGCATGGATCCTCAAGCAGTAGATGATGTCAACTCATCTGGCGAAAATTACATCACATGTAGAATTACTTCCTCCGGGTTTTTTTGAAATAACTGTTGTAGTCGTTGAGGTTTCCTATCGCCACCTTAACATTTCAATAAGAATGAAGGTTAGGAATATTTTTTCAGTGAAAGTAAATATTTCAAGATCTTGTTACTGATAGTCACTGAAAATGAGAACCCGACACCATTGAGATTTTATAAAAAATCGAAAAAACGTTTTTTGAACTAACTGTTTCATTGTTTTGCAAAATATTCGTCTTGATATACGTTGCATGTGTTTGAACCAATCTTCCAAACATTTGTTACACTCTAAAGTTGATGTCTAACAAATATGGTTTCGGTAAGTTTCAGTGATGAGAATCAGTATCCACGCATTTTCTGTTTAACATGTTTTTCTCGTACAAATAAATCAATTATTTGATTGAAATCAAAATCTGTCTGATGACTGGTGAAGCCCACAAAAAAACCGACTACTATCCTGGCTAATACCACACTGTCAGGAAAATGTCTTGTCTGTCGGATATAACTCAATTTTCATCGTGGTATTAGCTGGAAAAACTGTTGTTTTCTAGCAGGCATTCATCAGATTTTACAGTGAAAGAATGGAAATGGTGAATTTTTGAAATTTAATTTTAAAATATTCATTTTCTCAATTGTTTTATGCATTGCGTGAGAAATATCGTATGCATGGTGGGGAATGTAGTGACAATTCAGGTTTTTTTCTTGATTTCCTTGGAAAATAAATTATTGTATATGAAATGATGGCATTGTGTCCAGTGGATCTAAAAAAAACAAACAATGCCTAAAAGTGCTTTGCGTTCGAACATATTTTGGATTTGGTTCATCTTGAAATAAACAAACAGTGGATTGTTGCTTAGTTTTTGGTTCTTACGAATATATCTATATTAAGTTATCCGTAGAAATATTGTATTTTCAGATTATGAATGGTAAAATTTTTGAACTTAGATGATCAGTAGCCTCTGACGATCGGGTTCAATTATTCTAATAACTAGTGCTTCTTTATTTGAAATTGTTTTTATCATTAGTCTCATTGACAACAACATATTTTTAATGCTTTTTTATAAATTGTTCAATGATTATCATCACGGAAACCATTAAGACGTTGACCATTAACTAGAATGATGTTTTTTCAGCAAGATGAAAAAATAACAGACACTTTGATCTGTTATTATTTTCACACATGTTACTTCCAATAAGTATATTTTAATTGACAGGTAAATGACCCTGAAAACATTGAATTATGTGGAAGCAAAATCACTCTATACTTCACATATTTCACAAATTCAATACGAAAGCTGTCAAGCGAACATTTGTTTGTATCATATTGAACCGTGTATACAGAGTGGATTATTGTTTAAAAATAATAATTTTAATTAATTTTCGAATGTGATAGAAGCAAATGAATTCTTAAATACAGTTTCTGTATTGTGTATTATCTTCTAGAATATCCCATTTCTTCAGATGTGGCCGATGTTATTTTCAAAATTATTGAAAAATGATACCGATATTTTCCATTTTCTAGTGACGTGTACTCGTCTACTCTATCACCCGCCGAGTTTTTGCTTGCGAAAATTTCACAGATTATAATCATGAACCTGGTGTGTCAACTTCATCACCTTTCCACTACCTTCAATGCCACACTCATTTCCCGAAAAACATCATGAATATTCAATTGAGTTCAAGAACGTCCGAAAAAAATGATTGAATACTAAATAAATTATCTATTTGAACAAAATCGTAGGTTATGTTCTACTAGTTGTTTAATTTTTTCAGTATCCTTAGATATTATTTTGCATCACCTGAAATATAATTTTACCGCTAGTAAGAAAGGGCTAGTAAGGAATATATAGAGGTACGTGGAGAAATTATGTATGACAATGTTGTATAAGATGGTTTGCTGAAAATTGCAAAATCATGTATAATGAAGTTACTTAAGGAAAGGTAAAACTAGAACTTCAAAACAAGCACTTTTGCATCAGAACATATTATTTTTTGTTACCTAAAAATGTACTGTGCCGCTAGTGAAAAAAAGGTAATTGAGAATATACTAATGAGAGATTTTTTTTATTTCCCACAATCTGAAAGATACGAAACTTGTAACGGATATCTTTATACACTTGTAGAAATGGTGAGCTTTTCAGTTTATAGTTGCTGCTTGAAAAACAGTTCACAACAAAACACGCAATTCAGACTATTTTTTTGTCTGTTTGATGGAATTCGAGTTTGTTTTCGAAACTAAAACAAGCTTTATGTTTCTATAAATTGATGAATATTACTGGAGTTTTCTCCCAACACCAAATCGTTATTTTTAACACCTCGACACGTGTTTCGATCACCAAGTGATCATCTTCAAAGAGGAAGATTAAAACTAGAAACTAATGCGAGCTAACCCTATTTATGCTATAAAGGTAACCCATACAGATAAACCATCCAGGCGTATTAACCATACAGGTATACCAACCTAAATTGATTTTACATTTTTGTCTTATCTATTATTTTACAATATATGTTTATATAAAACAATTTTCAGCTATATAAAAATTAATTTCACAATTTTGCCTATCCAAATTTATTTTTGCAATGTGTCCTTATGTAATAATCAGTAAACCCTACAACATAATTTTATTTTATTTCAACAAGCTATACAGTATGCTCTTTGGTATAGGTTCGTCATCGTTATT